ATTTATAATTTATACCCAGCCCATCTCTAAAATATGAGAAACTATAGGCATTTGGTAAATGTATGTTGCCCTGACATGGGACATATTTTTTGAAGTCCCTTAAGCCAAAATTGGGGTTTGCTTCAAAGAATGATCTTAGACTTAACAGGAAAATTGCAAATAGCCCTATTTAATCCTTGAATACTTTCTAATGTGTTAATTTATTCATCCAATATTCTCTGGACTGTTATTTGTGAAAGTTAGATAGCACACAGCTCTCATAGTAATTGAAGATTGAAGACATTGCTCTTGGATCTAAATTCTAGCTCTTCCATTCATCTATTAGGTCAGAGACCTTGATAAACTTACCTGAATTATTTATTTCTTGGTTCTCTCATAATAGGTAGTATCTATGTATGGAGTTATTGCAATGTTATGTAAAACAACAAGTGAAAGTTCTGAACACTGCATTGTGTATTGTAAACTTATTTTATTCTGTATGTCTTGTACTTGGGTATCGCCATATCAGTCACATCACATGTTATATCCAGGCTATGATTTAAATCATAGAAAAATTTAATGGAATAGTCAAAGCTTATCAGGTACAGTGTTGGTATGTAGGAAATATAAATAATAATTATAATAAAATTTTGGGCATTTAAAAAATCTTAGGGCCGGCACTGTGGCATAGCCGGTAAAGCCATCGCCTGCAGCTCTGGCATCCCATATGGGCACCGGTTGGAATCAGGCTGCTCCACTTCCAGTCTTGCTCTCTGCTATGGCCTGGGAAAGCAGTAGAAGATGGCCTAAGTCCAAGGGCCCCCTGCACCTGTGTGGGAGACCCGTGAGAAGCTCCTGGCTTTGGATCAGAGCAGCTCCAGCCATTGTGGTCAGTTGGGGAGCGAACCAGCAGATGGAAGACCTCTTTCTCTCCGTGAAATTCTGACTTTAAAATAAATAAATAAATAAATAAATCTTTAAAAAAAACTCTCTGTGGTCTTCTATTTTCATTTTGTAATCTTGATAGGTGTGTGTGACTATTGAATAATTCTGAGGTTTGTAATATTTTACGCTCACTTAACATAGATCCTTTTAAGAGAATTCACCAGTCGGCACCGCGGCTCACTAGGCTAATCCTCTGCCTGTGGCGCCAGCACCCCGGGTTCTAGTCCCGGTCAGGGCGCCGGATTCTGTCCCAGTTGTTCCTCTTCCAGTCCAGCTCTCTGCTGTGGCCCGGGAGGGCAGTGGAGGATGGCCTGGGTGCTTGGGCCCTGCACCCACATGGGAGACCAGGAGGAAGCACCTGGCTCCTGGCTTCAGATCGGTGCAGTGCACTGGCCGTAGCGGCCATTTGAGAGGTGACCAACGGAAGTAAGACCTTTCTCTCTGTTTCTCCTCTAACTCTGCCTGTCAAAAAAAAAAAATAAAAAACAAATAAATAAGGAGTTCCTTGGTAAATTCTCTTTATCTGTGATCTTCCAGTTTGAATCTCTTCTAATTCTCTTTTTCAAAGGCTAATATACTATGGTTTGTATTAGGGATTTTATTTTCGAAGTATTTCCAATGGTTTTTTTACTATTTTCTTTGATAGATATTGACCATGTGACCATATTTCTGGTATTCCTCAGCTCTCAAAAGGGTGGTGTAGATAAATCCATGGAAATGCTAAGGGAAAATGTTAAAAGATGCTGAAGAGCTGCACTGTGCTATACAGGAGTCTTCAAAAGTTTATGGAAAGTGTGTATTACCTTATAACTCCATTTCCCCATGAATGTTTTGAAGTTCCTTCAGATGTCATAATTGGCACCATGGGACTGTTGAAAATGAATCTAGTCCAAATCGAGATGTACTGTAAGTATAAATTGTGCATGGGATTCCAAGACTTAATATGAAGTAATGAATGCAACTACCTCACTAATAATTATGTCAGTATATCTGAGATAATGTATTTGATATATTATGTTAAAGTATATTATTAAAATTATTTCTCTGTACTTCCTAAATATGACTAGTAGAAAACTTCATGTATATAGCACACATGATAGTTTTACCAGATACTCTTATTTTAGAGAATCATGAAATGATTAGCATATTAAGGCTCTGAGATATAATGAAATAAAGAAATGTATTTAGCTTTAAAAGGGTTTTTTAAACAAAATTGTTGATCACGGGTTATTTAATAACTCCAATGGTACAGGGTCTTGAGAAAAAAACTTTTAGAAGTTTTGGTCTTAAATTAACATCTAACTAAGCCTTGAAACCCTTTTGTTATTCCTAATTAAATTAGGTATGATGTTATTTTTTAATTTCTATTGCTTAGTTGAGACTAATTGAGTTGAGAGTAATTATTTTTCCTTTACATCCTGTCTTTTGGGAGGACTGAATTATATGGAGTGCAAATTATGTATTCATCATTGAGTCTACTTCCAAGTAATTGAATCTTCCAGATTCTCTCTGGAAAGGTGAATTCTTCCATGCTGATTTGAACATAGCTCCATTTATATGCTCTCTTCCTAACAGGAAGCCTCCCTGCTCTCGACCCAGACTAGCATAGTATCCTACTAATAGGCATCTCACTGCCATGTTTGTCTCTCTCTATCTCTCGTACTATGCCAGAGTAATCTTTTTTTTTTTTTTTTTTTTGCAAAGATTTATTTGAAGGGCAGAGCTTACAAAGGAAGAGGGTAAGAGAGATCTTCCATCCACTAGTTCACTCCCCAAATGGCCAGGGCTGGACTGGTTCAAAGCCACTTTGTGGCAGGGGCCCAAGGATCTGGGCCGTCCTCTGCTTCCGCTACTTTCCCAGGCCACTAGCAGAAAGCTGGATTGGACGTGGAGTAGCTGGAACTCGAACCAGCACCCACATGGGATGCAGGCTTTACAGGTGGTGGCTTTACCCACTACACCAAAGTTCCAGCCCCCAGAATAGTCTTTAAAAAAAAACCAAAAAAGTTGGATTTCTTTCCTGCTTTAAGTTCTCCAATGACTTCCCACTGTACTGGGGAAAAAAAATCTAAAAGTAGTATTACCTGTATGATTGTCAAGCTGTTCCTCATACTTGATCCCAGAAACTCAGTCTGATTTTCTTCAGTTATTGCAAATTACTTCTAATTTAGGGTTTTCATCTACTATACTTGAGAAAAAATCTTCGCTAACATTCCAGGGTTCCATCTTGATCAGACTGGCAAATTTCCAAATGGATAAATTGTTTGTTCTCTTGGTGACACACATATCATTCCTAGCCAAGATTCTTCCACTGTGTGTTTTAAACCATAGTCTGGGATACCATATCTTGTAACACCACCATCCTGAATATGCAGTCCTTCATTTCTCAAATCTCCTTCTTGCAAAGTCTCTGCCCAGGTATTTTGTAGTTCCTTGCCCAAGGCTTCATAAATAATTGGTTACTTCCTGGGACACCTGAAGAAATATAATTTGTCCTCGTATAAATCAGCAGGTATGAGTAGTAGTCAGTTGGGCTGATCAGTCATGGCAGCCTTTTCCATTTTAATGTGGCCTGGAGAGGAGGTAGCATAGCTCTGTGTGCAGAATTATCTAGGAAGAAGGTGAGCAGCTGTACATGACCAAGGAATTCTTGTCATCACACACTGGGTGTTTCTCTGATCTTTCAGCCTGAATTTACAGTATTCCTTAAGAGTTGAAAACACTGCAGGGCTTGCTACATGAACATTTGGGGGATGGTGCCATGACAGTGACGGACCTTTGAGAATTTGAGATGGAGAAATATTGATTGATAACAGCTTCAAGTATTGACCAGAAGGTTCTATCATTAGCATTAGGGAAATCTTTCATGGCTGTAGAGAAAAACTGTTCTAAGACAATCCCTCCTCAAACACCAAGAAATCGATGTATATTGAGATTTTTATGTTATGCAATTTGTCCTATCCATTTTGTTAGGAAATGTATGTTTTCTGTTTTTACCCCATGTATCAGTATATAAAGTATATAAACCATATCTATCTTTATCAAATCATCTCTGGTCCTGAGATTTTTAAATGAGAAGTGGAATTCCATGATTAATTCCAGATTCCTTTCTTTTGCAAATAGTGGTAGATTTGAGCTTGGCTTCCTTATCTCTCTCCCTCCCCCTATATTGTTTGTCTGGAATCTGCAGTAAAGATAAGGCAGAGAGCAAACCTGAGTCATTGGCATCCAATCAAAACATTATGTGGAAAACTCCCTCCAAGGAAGTGCAGGCAGCACAAACAAAACTTCAGAAATAGTGGAATTGAAGGCAGAAAAATATGGTTGAAATGACTAGGACAATTGGCTCTTATTTAAAAACTTCATTTCACTTCGAGTGTGAAAAGAAATTTTTGATTTGAAAGAAACGCCTAACTGAATTTCATCAGAAATTAAAAATAGGTAGGTTTTGCTTATGTTTTCTTCATAGTTATTTTCTATTTCTTAAATATCAAGTAATTGATGAGACAGTTTATACGTACAATGTTTTAAAATGTTGTAATGAAAGCATGAACATTCAAAAACAATCTGATCAACCTATAGATCTTAGCAGGCAAGTAATAACACCACTAACAAATACATAAACTGATATATTATTTATTAAAATTATATTGAAAACAAGTGATTGTTAAAAAATATACACACCTAACATCCAAGTGTGACTAGACTCTATGCTTTCTAACAATGTGATCATTTTGAAATCTGACCCTGACACTATTGATTTCCATTTTTCCTTTGAAATTTTAGGAGAATAACTCTGTATTAAACCTCTATTTTTCAATATCAGAACCACAAACACCTGGGAAACTGAAAGCCCTCAATATTTCCACACATTCTTTTTCTCTGCCTTGGAGCCTGCCCTCTACCCATGTGCAGAAGTATCATGTGGATCTTGTTCCTGACAGTGGCTTTGTTCGTATCAAACATCTTGCTGGTGGAGAATTTCAGGTATAGTTTTCAGGATTGTAGTCAGCCTGCTTTATTTGTATTTGGTCCTAGTAGGAAAGTTCTTTATGAAACTCATCCACCATGTAAACTTATTCCTTGGGGGCTTTTTAAAAGCATAAAATGAAGACAAAAACATTGCTGTCGAACTGATGAGTGTAAGTTTCAGCATTGGTAGACTGTTACCTTAGCAACGTCTATGCTTTTTTTTTTTTCTGGTCTACACTGAACCTACAGCCATCCATCCAAGAGTTCATGAATAGTTTAACAAAGAAAGGGCAGAGCTATTGAGTAATCCAGGCTCATTAATTGTGCACTTGCCAGGAGGATCTGTCTTTAAATCATTAATGCAGGCAACATTTCTCTCTAGAGCCATCAATGTGATTCTACTGCCTGAAAAATGTAATAATGATGGATTTTCTTATCATTTTTCTTTTATTTTTTATTGGAACTTCAGAGACACAGGTATTTCATATGCACTCTTAAAAACAAGGGCTACATAGTGGGGAGTGGGTTTCTAAAGGCTCCAAAAGAGTTAGTCTTTGTGACAATAAGCCAAGAGAGGTAGAAATAGTGATTTATTTTTGATAAGTGTCTGTTTTCTAAGTTTTTAATTGATCTTATAAGTTTTTCAGTAAATAGCTATATAACAAATTTATATTTCACAAATACAGAACTTAGAATATTTGAAACAGTGCTGAGTTATATAGCAGTGTTATTTAATTTTGTTGATAAATTTGTTATTTTCATTTTCTTGATTTATAGAAAGAATTTTAATACAATTATTTGTTTCTGATGTCCTAGGTTGATGTCTTCAATGCTGATCCTGGTACCAGATATGACATAACCGGCTCTTCAATTTCTGCTACAACGTACAGCTCGGCTGTTAGTAGAACAGTGGCAACAAATGTAACAAGTGAGTGCATGTTTTAAATGATATTTTTTCTGAAGTTTATGGAATGAGTGTAATTCTATTGATAGAAAGGCTTTACATTGCCGAGATGTGCATGATAAACATGAAAACAGTTCAGAATAATTATAGCAAAATGGAAACTTAAGAAAGTGATCTGTTTAGAACCTATCTTCTACAGGTACCTTAGCTTGCTTTACTTTTAAACAGCAAAGACAATTCCTCTCTACTTGCTTGTGAAATGGATCAGACACAGTATTCATGGTGACACTTAAATAATACAGAGCCAGGAAAATAAACTCTGTACACTTGCTCTGGAAGAAGTATTCAGCTTGTAAGACAGTTTCTTGCTTTCTCAGTGTTTGTGTATAAGTTTTGCATCAAATAATTTTCTTTTAAACATTATTTGGCAGCAAAAGTGTATTTGGCTGGTAGCATTTAGTAGCATTCCATTTTTTACATTCTTATAAAAGAATGTTGTTGGTATTCCCCAAAGCATTTTGATTTTTTTTTCTTTTTGGTCACAGAGTTCTCAGGAATATAAACTGACATTGGTCTTTAAGAACTCCAAAGGCTTACATTTGTAAATACTTTCCTTACATGTTTTTATGAAGCTACCGTAATTGTTTGACCTTTCAACAAAGTGATTTTTTTTTTTTTTTTTTACTTTGTACAAAAACAGAACCAGGGCCTCCAGTCTTCCTAGCAGGAGAAAGAGTCGGATCTGCTGGGATTCTTCTTTCTTGGAATACACCACCAAATCCAAATGGAAGGATCATTTCTTACATTGTTAAATATAAAGAAGTATGCCCGTGGATGCAAACCTTATATACACAAGTGAGAGCAAAGCCGGACAGTCTGGAAGTTCTTCTTACTAATCTTAATCCTGGGACCACATATGAAATCAAGGTAACAATTTCGTAACTACTCAGTATTAAAGTATTTCATCCATTTTAAAAGTGAAAGTGGTTTTTCTCACCTGGTCAATATCCTACAGCTGAATGTAGCAAGTAAACAAAGAATGATATTCTTCCTGAATTTTAAACTTGGTCAAATGTTATAATCTCTTTTCAATTATAAAATACTGAACAGGTTGTAAATACATATTTATGTACATATATATATATACATACACATACATATATTGCATATAACATACATAATAAGTGTATATGCTGTACGTTTTTTTGAACTTTAGCTTAGTGACTTTGTTAGAAAATCAATCAAGGTGGCCAGCGCCGCAGCTCACTAGGCTAATCCTCGGCCTGCGGTGCCAGTACCACAGGTTCTAGTCCTGGTTGGGGTGCTGGTTCTGTCCCGGTTGCTTCTCTTCCAGTCCAGCTTTCTGCTGTGGCCTGGGAAGGCAGTGGAGGATGGCCCAAGTGCTTGGGCCCTGCACCCGCATGGGAGACCAGGAGGAAGCACCTGGCTCCTGGCTTCGGATTGGCGTGGCACACCGGCTGCAGAGAGCCGGCCGTAGCGGCCACTTGGGGGGTGAACCAACGGACAAAGGAAGACCTTTCTCTCTGTCTCTGTCTCTCTCTCTCTCTCTCACTCACTGTCTAACTCTGCCTGTCAAATAAATAAAATAAATCAAGGTTAGATTAAACACTGTAAGCTTCTAAGGTGAAAATATTCCACTTTCTGATCACACTTAAAATTAACTTTGTTATTTTTTTCCCAGTCCTGTTGTATTTGCACCTATGGGGTTAGAAAACTTCTAAAGAGCCAGTTATGGTAAGAAGGATGAATTCAATTCAGTTCCATTCAACAAATATTTCTTGAGCATTTACGATATAAGTTTATAAAAAGCTTTTTAGTTTTTTACAATTTAAAATATGTGCAATTTAATGAAATCTTACTTGAATAGTTACGTGAAGAAGAACTTATAAAAAGCAATGCTAAATTACTCAGGCCCTATGAAAATGTTTACAATGAAAGGGTATGACATTTCCAAGGGATGAAAAATGCAGATTTCCTTGGGTTCCTCCTTGTCTTCAACATCGCTTCAATGTGTTCTTTGAATTTTAAAGGTAATTGAGTAAGGAGAAGAAAATCTAAAAGCTGTGTAAGTAAGTGATCATGTATAGCTGAAATGCTCTTCCTGGATGCTAAGAGATGATGGGAAAGAGACTCTGGCGGGGAATTGTTCCTTACTGGAAGTGTGCCCATTCATAGAATTAAGGTAGTGAGAACTGGAGAGCAAATACAAGGAGTAGGACTCCCTCAGTAATAAAACACAAAAGCATTTTACTTATACAGAAGTCAAAAGCAAAGATTTATGATATCTATTTTGTGCAAAAACAGATTAAATAATAGGCAAACTTTTTTGAACTTACATCTGAAAATTACATAGTATGTATTTTCTATCATTATATACATAGTCAAGTTGATTTATATGTTGAAATACACTCTTGAGGGATTAAATTTTAATATGAAATAAGAAACTACTGCTGATAGGTGATTTAGCCAACCTAGCTCTGCTTAGATCCATTTTTATGGAGTTTGAGTTTTTAGTCCTTTGGATTCTCTTATTTCAGATCTGTTGGGAAGCCCCTATTCTCTGTTTCATCTCACACTTTATAAATCATTGTTGTGGCATTTACTTTGTGCAAATCAGTGTTAGCTATTTTAGAGTTCCAAAGGGTATTTGGCATGGTGCATTTGATATCTTTAGTGTAAGTCACATGTTGTGAGAAATCCTGTTAAGTGTTTTACATATGTTATTTCATTCAGTTTCAGAACAACTCTGTGACATGGATACATTATTCCCATTTTAAAGTCAAGGAAAATGTGACTTAAAACAGTTAAAGGAAATTGTCTAAAGTTACTCATCTGGGAGTAACAATTGTAGCTGTAGAGCTACAATTAAAGCAAGGTTTCTGATTCTAGTCATGGAATTTCAAAAGCTTAAGATTCTTATATTCACCTTCCATAGTATTTTTGACTACATTATTAAAGTCAAAGATAATTTTATAACCTTTAAATACCAAAAATACTCTAAATTATTAAACCTACTTATTTTAAAAATTAGTTTTCCTAAGTATTTATTAGCCTGATTAGAGTGTAAATTCCACAGAAACAATCAGTCTTGTCTGTAGAGGATATATGGATTAAAGCTAGGCTTTGGAAAAATGCACAACTTCAGCTGAATATTTTTTTGCCATATATTCCTTTCTGAGATTGATTTGAACTCCCTCAACATTTTTCTCATCTATAAAATGTTGACAATAACACTTCATATTTTGATTATATGGATGGCTACATATTTGCCTTCTACCTTGTGAACATTATGATCTAGGGAGAAAAGTATTTCTGGCGTTTACCTATAGGAAAATCGAAGTTCCATTATTTCAGAGTCTGTTTGCTCATACAGTAAACATAATCTTTTTGATCTATTTCAGGTTGCTGCTGAAAACAGTGCTGGTATCGGAGTGTTTAGTGACCCATTTCTCTTCCAAACTGCAGAAAGTGGTAATTTGTCTAAATCATTTATCAAAAATAAACTTAGTCATGTGTTATTTAAAATGAATAGGGATGCAGACAAAATCTGACACCAAATTGCATAAAATTCTCAACAGCATGGGTACTCTTTTTGATGGCTAATTTATTCATTAAAATTTATTTTATTCTTTTTGGTTACAAAACTGTGTTATCTTGGAAAACTTTGGAAAGTTAAGAATAAAAAAATAATTGAAATCACCCATGGTCCTATTATGTGAAAAATCTTATTTTGCTAATTCTGGCTGATTTTTCTCCTTCCCACCCTGTGTCATGAATTCATATCTTTGTGACTTTGTTAATGAGGACAGATTTGTGCCATGTGTGCAAGTTTTTGCCTTTTCCACCTGACATCAAACTGTAAGCATTTTTATGGCACTGGACTTTTGGAAATAGGGATTTTTAACAGCTGCCTTATTCCATAATATCCAGGCTAATATTACCAAACCGATCTAAGATGCTACCTTTCTTTGAGTAGCTGAGAGAAGAAATCCTGATGCCTTGTTTGATTCCTGTGCCTCACAGAACATACCCAGCCCATCAGCTGAGTCTCCCAGTATCAGCCTCAGAACATAGCCTGCCTCTCCCCCTTGTTGCTAATAACCCATTTTTCAGTCTTGCCTGAATGAGTGAAAGGCTCCCACTGGCCTCCTGTTTCTGCCTGGCCTGCCCATGGTCTACTCTCAACACCACACCCTTTGAAACCTGGCTTGACTGTGTTACTTCTTTCTTTCCGACACGGCTGTAATCTTAGGAAGACTAAAACCCCAACTCCTTCTAACTGCAGGACGTTCTTGCCCTTCGTTGACTTCATCTCTTCCTCTTCTCAGCTCCCTCTGTCTGCTCCAGTCTTCCACTTGAGGCCTGTGCCCTCGCTGCTCCTTCTCCAGGAATACTCTTTCACTTAGCATCCCTAGGGCTCTCTCCCCAAGTTAATTCAAGTCCCGCATGCTACCTTTCCTGACTACACCTTCTCAAATAGCCCCTACCTCCTTCCGTTTAACTCTGTGTCCACTGTTACGTAGATTAGCTCAGTAAAACACAAGTTCCATGATACAAAAAAAGTTGTTATTAAGTAGATGTTCCTGTTATTTAATTAATAATTGTGCTGCTTACTTATAACTTTAAGAACATAGAAAAGTGATTCAACGATGGCAACTCCATTTGGCCACATATATCTACTGTACAGCATATAGTACAGTACAGTAAGATAAATAAATGAACTCCTAAGTAATGTGTCAGATGGATGATAATGACTATAAAAGGATTTTATAATATCATGCAGTTATAAATATTCTATATAAAGATAAAAATTGTTTAGCGGTTCACTAATTTTAACTAATTTAAAAGGGCTCTGTGCATTGAGAGAATATAGTAGTCAATGTGAATGAATTTTATGGCCCATTTCCTAAATGAGACCCTATCTAAAGAAGCATATAGATGGTATTTTTACCACCCAGCTTAAGGAGATTTGGAGTCCCATGGTAAGTTTTTAAACTGTAACCTTACAAGTTAAGTTTGTAGCAATGTATGAAGAACTATACAGCTTTACAGTTATGAGCTTCATAATTACAACTTTAGGAACATGGTTATTCTTCCCACCATAGAAATTAGTAGTCATCAAAGAAGGGAGGTACTTTTCTCTGAAGGGAGGAGAGAACTTCCAATTTGCTTATGGCCTTGTCTAACTGCTGACGGAGCTTTTAGATTCAAAAGGCTTCCATAGGCCGGCACTGTGGCTCACTAGGCTAATCCTCCACCTGCGGCGCCAGCACACCAGGTTCTAGTCCCAGTTGGGGTGCTGGATTCTGTGGCAGTTGCTCCTCTTCCAGGCCAGCTCTCTGCTGTGGCCTGGGGAAGGCAGTGGAGGATGGCCCAAGTGCTTGGCCCCTGCACCCCATGGGAGACCAGGAGAAGCACCTGGCTCCTGGCTTTGGATTGGTGCAGCGCGCTGGCCTTGGCGGCCATTTGGGGGGTGAACCAATGGAAAAAAAGGAAGACCTTTCTCTCTGTCTTTCTCTCACTGTCTAACTCTGCCTGTCAAAAAAAAAAAAAAAAAAAGCTTCCATAGTCTAGACAGAGCATGTCAAGAGCCTCTGGTGATCAATGACGTCATGCATAAGAGTGTTAATTGTTAAATTAACAACAGAAGTCACTGTGCACTTCCCATGAAGGACTTCTGTCCTCAAAGAATTGTATTTTAAGTATGTCTAAGTGCTCACAAAAGATATATCATTCTTGGGTGCTTCTTTAATGTTAATTACATTTTCTAAAAAAATAGTGAAATTAACTTCAAGATGCAATGATTTTGAACAGCCCTTGTCTACTGTTGAGGAACAGTTTTCTTTTTGAAAATTGTTGAATTCTTTATTTAGTATAGAGTTGGTCTTCTGTGTATAAAGTGAATCAAAAATGGATCTTAGTGGAGAATGGGACTGGGAATGGGAGAGGGAGGAGGAGGAGCGATAGGAGTGTGGGTGGGAGGGCGGGTATGGTAGGAAGAATCACTCTATTCCTAAAGTTTTACTTATGAAGTGCATGAAGTTTGTATTCCTTAAATATAAGGTTTCTTTGGGGACAAAAGCATATAGCAGAATATTCTACTGCACCAAAGGAATTGAAAGAAAATACTGTGTTTGTGAATCTGGTTATTTAAAATCAGAACTGAATTATTCCTGAGGTCTAACTTATTAATGTTGTTTTCAAACATTGACTGTCAATTTTGTTTTTAATCTATTAATTTGGAAGGTAGAGTGACAGAGACAGGGAGATACACGCACACACACACACACACACAAACACACAGAAATTCTATCCTCTGGTTCACAATCCAAATAATTGCACCAACCAGGGCCAGGCCAAACCAAAGAGAGGAACCAGGGGATCCATCCAGATCTGTTACATGAATGACAGGGGCTCAAGTACTTTGGGCTGTCATTCACTCCTTCCTGGGCACATTAACAGGAAACTAGATGGGAAGTGGAGCAAGCCAGGACTCAAGCAGGCAGTCTGATAGGGAATGCCAGCTGCGGACTTTGAGATTATTTACACAACTAAAAGACAAGCGGAAAAATTCTCATCTTAAAGCTATGTATGCTGTAGGATATAAAAGAAAAGCTTACGTTTTAAATTTTAGGAAAAATTATTGCAATGATTTTTTAAATGAAACTGGGAATAGGTTTTTTGTTTTGTTTTGAACCCTGATTTTGATATGGTATCTGATAAAGCATGAGACCTGCAGATTATAATTTCAATTTGACTGTATTTTGAACTTGACATATTTTAAATTTCTGATAACTGAGCTGAACTTAAAGCAGTGGGAAAAACTAGAAGAATTCTAGGATAAAGTGGAGATAATACTGAATAGGAAGTCTTAGGATGTTTTGTACTTGCTTTGTGTTTTTGAGGCAATTGCATACCTCATGCCCTTTCATCCCTTTTTTTTTTTTTTGCAGGGGGCAAATATAAAGAAGTTAGATCAGTGGTCCTCAATTTTATTGTTTTGGTGGGTGGTTGTTGTTGTTTGACAAAGAGTCTCTTTGTTTTATTTGTGCTCCATAATCCTAAATGTGAAAAAGACTTCTTTGGAATAACCTGCATTTATTATTGTGAAACCAGAAGTAATGTGTTTTCCTAGGATTAAAAATACTCTGAAGAAGAGTATACAAGTGAACAATGATTCCTTACTAAATTATTATGTCATCCACAAACACAAAAAGTTTTAAGTGGAAGTATACTTTATTTTAGCCTTAAAAATATTAAGAAAATAGTTTCACGTTGATGTCAACTAAAAATGCAGAGAAATAATTTTGGAGGTTTATGTTAGATTTACAGTACTCTTAATGTATAAAAACATGCATGCTCTGTACAGCTTACACTTTGAAATGTTTTAGATACTCATACATTCTTTTATATTTATGCATGTCTATCCTCCAGACATGATCTCAAAATGTCTGCTAAGTCATCTGCCTAAAAGATGAAATGTGTTTATATACAGAACTTTTTTGGTACTTCAGTATTAAATCTTACTTGGGTTAAGATTACTCAGAAAATAATCAAGATGTAATGGGCATCTGGTGCATAAGATCAATAAGGAGAAACTAGCATACTTAAACAGGGGAAGATTTGCCAATCACAGTAAAGACTCACAATTAATCTGCAAACACCATGCAGTCACAAAAGGAAAACACATACCTACATCTCATTGAGACAAAAATAATTGGAAACAGCTTAGTAAAAATTGCTTTTAGCAGATGTTTAGAAGATTTAGCTTAAATCTATTTACTTTTTATAGTCTTTTTTGGAAATTTTGCTTTGAAATTTAATAAAGATGTGATTACCTTATAAATTCCAAATTTCTTTGCATTTGACTAGTTCACAACAGCTGTTTTTAAGGCCTATTTGAAATTTGTAAATTTGTATGTATTTTGTTAAATTTGTATGTATTTTGTATAAATATTTCAATCATTCTAAAATTTTGTATAGGTTATATAATAAGAAATGTCTAAATATGATCAAGATTTATGACAAATTTTTAATTCCTAGAATTCCACAACATATTTTTTGCAAACTTTGTCTTTTTGTTTTATTATATGTTATATATCTAAAGTAGAATCAAGTGTTAAATCTTGATTATCAGAGAGCTATCTTGTTATTATCTTTTTGAAATATTTGAGAGACAGAACTCCCATCTGTTGATTTACCCCTCAAATGTCTGCCTTGGCTAGATTGGGCCAGCACCGGAACCAGGAGCTTGTATACAGTCCACCTGTCTCATGTGTTAGTGTCGAGCCATCACCACTGTTTTTTCTAGGGTATCCATTGGCAGGATGGTAAAGTGAGGAGCTAGAGGCAGGAATTGAATCTATGCACTCCTACATGGGCTCCAGGTGCCTTAACTGGCATCTTGCTAGCTAGGCCAAATACCTGCCACGTTTCATCATTTTTGTTAACTTTTAATTCCATTTCATCAGTTCTCCTTGGAATGAATAGAACTCAGAATTTAATAATGACAGCCTATTGGATGGGTACCCATCTGATGTTACACTAGAAATGTATAAACATTCTAGAAATAGGCTTTTTAGTGCAAATTGTTGGATAATTATTTCAATTTGGCACTTTGTTGATTATCTAAGGAATCTGCATAATTCCAAAGTATTAAAGTAACAGTTTATTCTAACCTTTTTTGTATATTCACAAACAACTGTTGATTGAATATTTTCTCATTAATTTGAAGTGTTACCCAACACATGCAATGGCCCAATTACCCTGCAGTGAGCTCATTTGACTCAACTCTTTGTCTTCTTAATTTTCAGCAAAGATCAATTAAATATATGTTAAAACTCTTGCTCACATAGCTTTTATCCAATGTGCTGTATATTTAATTTCATATATAGCCCTAACATATAAATGTCATTTAAAGTGTTATAATAAGGTTTTTCCCCTCTCCTTCAACCCTTCTCATTCCCCCAGCTCCAGGAAAAGTGGTGAATCTCACAGTGGAGGCCTTCAACTATTCGGCAGTAAACCTGATTTGGTATTTACCGCGTCAACCAAATGGCAAAATTACCAGCTTCAAGATCAGTGTCAAACACGCCAGGAGTGGGATAGTGGTGAAAGATGTGTCAATCAGAGTGGAGGACATTTTGAGGGGGAAATTGCCAGAATGTAATGTAAGTGTCACGGAGCACTTGGTAGGTAAACGTACATTTTCAAAGTGTCAGCATCTAGACACTATTTATTTTACCAAAGTGGTCATTAGATTATACATAATTTATGGTGTTAAATTGGAATACCATGCTATTGTCTAAATCCAAAGTGGAGCATTGGAAAGCAGTTGGGAATTCTAGAGTGAAAGATTAAAATCATGTTTGGAGTTCTGCAAAGACTTCACCCAGATGTAGTATTTGCATAGGCTATGGAGGAAGGACGGAGGGAGGTTGGATGAGGGCACCTTTCCTGGGAGAGGGTACTTTATAAATCCCCGAGGTGAAAATATGTAAGAGCTAGCTGGAGAAAAGGAAGTACTTCCATCTGACAGATGCGGAGAGCACATATAGAGGAGTGAATAGTTAAGATTAAATTACAGAGGTGACTTGTGTTTTGGTTTGCATCTTTGCTAAAAAGAAAAAAATGTGTTATCTATTTGTTGTTATCTGATCATTGATGACAAACCCCAGGAACAACAATGATTATTCCCTAAAATCAGTTTGGTGAACATGTGGTATTACAGAGGGAAAAGCACTCAAAAATATTTCCACAAATTATTAAGAATGGAAGTCTCAAACTCTTTTTCAAGTTAGAATGTATTTCTAATACACACACACATACACACACACACGTAAGCACATATCCTCACACTTGTCAAGTATGCTAGTGCTGTTATCTTTTGAGCACTTATGAGAAAAAAGTGATAGTAACAGCAAGAAAGTTCTTATATTGGAAATTTCATGATAATTAAATTCTTTCTGCTCTCTGGGTATTGATTCTTACTAATGATTTTGCTGCAGTCTTATTTTAAGCCACTGGAAATCCTATTCATGAGAAAGATTAAAGGATGCAATAAATATATCTTTTTCTAAAACAATATGTGTGGGCATAATTAAAATATAGCAAATTCATCCATAACTGACTCCATTAAAATGCTTTGCTAACTATGCACACGCACTGATGAGTAATATTTCTAGTATAAAGGGAAAAGAGCTGAATGGAATTTCTGATGTTTACCGAAAGATGCCAAGTTATTTTTCTGTCGATATTTATTCCCTTCGCTAGGAGAATAACGAGTCTTTTCTGTGGAGTACCACTGGGCCGTCTCCGACGCTTGGCAGAGCTACGCCTCCGGCACGCAGCACATATCCATCGAGCACGCCGGCAGGGAGGAAGCTCAGCTCTGTGTGGAAAGAGCCTATAAGTTTTGTGGTGACACATCTGAGACCTTATACAACATATCTTTTTGAAGTTTCTGCCGTTACGACAGAAGCGGGTTATATTGATAGCACCATTGTCAGAACACCGGAATCGGGTATGTTTTCATTTGGGGTAGAAAGAAAGATTTAAATGATTTGCAAATTGTTCTTTGGTTTTGTTCACATAGATCTTTTTGTTAATTTTTAAATGCCCATCCCCGTCCCCTGTAATAGATAATAGACTCCCATTTAGCATTTCTTCAAATTTCTCTATTCTTTCGTGTTAAAGAACCAAAGTAAGAGTTCAAAAACAGAAAAATGAAAAGGGTTTTTGTGTATAAAAGCACATTTATCTATTTGAAAGGCAGAGCAACAGAAGGAGAGATGCAATGACGGGGGGGGGGGGGGGGTCTTCCGTATGCTGGTTCACTCCCCAGAGGGCCACAATAGCTGAAGCCAGGAACCAGGAACTCCAGCTGGGTCTCCCACATGGGAGGCAGGGGCCCAAACGCTTGGGCCATCTTCTGCTTTCCCAGGCACATCAGCAGGGACCTGGATTGGAAGTGGAGCAGTCAGGACTCAAACAGGCACTCTGATACGTGATGCTGGCCTTGCAAGTAGCAACCCGTGTAGTCCCCATCGAAGGATTCTTAAGCTACTCACCATGATGCTGAGATCAACTTTTATTATTCTGTGATGTCAGCAGTTTTTAAATGATCATGTGGGCCCTTCCAAATCACCTATAAATTGTCTTCCCTTGGCTCACTGAAATTGCTTTATCAGATTTAGAGAGACCAGCTGCAATAGTATCACTAGCATGTGATCAACTCTCAGTATCAGGTAAATACAGAAGCTATGATACATAGCTTTGCATTATAATTTTCACATAGGAAACATGGAGAAATGTTAGTTCCCACCTTATGGCAATAGTGTTAGGATTAAGTGAATAAGTTATTATTGCTAATAAATTTTAGGAGTACATATTTTCTAGGTGTGGGTATTCATATATTGAATTCTGGTCTTATACTTGTGTCCAGATATGTACATGGTCTAGTACTATAATGTCAGGTTTTAAATTAAATACCTCACATATTATGTAGATCATTATATAGCATCAGACATTCGGTGATTGGTAATTTTTTGAGGACACTAGAAATTATTAGTAGGGCAATTTTGCTAAAGCGTAATATTTTCTTAAACATAGCTGTTATCTCCTTTATTGTCCATTGAATATGTTTGAGGTTTTTTCTTGATTTAAATAACCATTTTGAGTCATACCGTTTCCTTCTCTATACTCTTTATGTAATGAAAACAATTTTTGTGAGAATCACTCAAAATGAGATTTTGCAGACAAGTTTTTTTTAAAAAAAATATTTGGAAATGCTTCATTTCAATTAAAACAAATCATTAAATATAGATACTCATCTATAATAAAACTTTAAAATATTTTATATGTTAGCAATGTAACATTTGAATCTTAGATGTGAGTTACAAATTCTTTCTTAGAGCAAAATACACAAATATTGATTTTTTTTATTGTGGTGCTGTAACTTCTTTTTTTATTTTTATTTATTTTTTTAATTTAGTAAATATAAATTTCCAAAGTACAGTTTATGGATTACAAAATATATGGCCGGCGCCGTGGCTCACTAGGCTAATCCTCCACCTTGCGGCGCCGGCACACTGGGTTCTAGTCCTGGTCGGGGTGCCAGATTCTGTCCCGGTCGCCCCTCTTCCAGGTCAGCTCTCTGCTGTGGCCTGGGAGTGCAGTGGAGGATGGCCCAAGTGCTTGGGCCCTGCACCCCATGGGAGACCAGGAGAAGCACCTGGCTCCTGGCTCCGGATCAGTGCAGTGCGCCGGCCGCAGCGCGCCAGCCACGACGGCCGGCCATTGGAGGGTGAACCAACGGCAAAGGAAGACCTTTCTCCCTGTCTCTCTCTCTCACTGTCCACTCTGCCTGTCAAAAAAATAAAAATAAAAAAATATAAAAAAAAATTGATTTTTTTTAAAAAAAGAGATCATTGCCAATAAATCCTGAGCATTATTTCCTTAATTGTTCCACGTCTGTCTCCTATAGTGAACCTGTTTATCAAGTCAGATACTCAGATCTTGTTGAATGCAGTACCTATGGAGGTGTAAATTTATTAAAACAATGTAATATTTTATAGTATATATAGGAATGAGATTGACACTGTGTTATCATAATACAGCATTAACTAAAGTTAGTAATTGAAGCAATTAAGTTCTGATGATCTAGCATGTCTTATGTCATTCAGTTATATTCTGTAATTCCTTTTTTCTAGTTAAAAACCCTTTGTGTTTGTTTGATATTTCCTTCACATTTTATGAATATTCAATTATATGTTCAATATGAATTTTTATATATTAATTTTTTCCCATAATCTTTTTAGTGCCTGAAGGACCTCCACAAAACTGTGTAACTGGAAACATCACAGGAAAGTCCTTTACTATTTCATGGGACCCACCAATTATTGTAACAGGGAAGTTCAGTTATAGAGTTGAATTGTATGGACCATCAGGTACGTTGTAATTGGTTTTGTGTTTACATTTTTAAGTAAGAATTACATTATAAAATATGTTGTTAGTATGAAACTTAGAAAGTATCAACATTTTGAAAAAAGACTGCAAGTGAAATGCGTAACAGAAAAGTGATTAAGAAAGGCAAAGTCCTTTGATTTTTTTTTTTCTTAAAATCAGGAGAATAAAGATGACAACACACTACTCACAGTCTGTATTTCATATGGAGGAAGCTTAAAAAAAATGAGGAATAGAAGGTGTTCGAGGAGATACATACCTTCAAATATTTGAAAATGGGAACGTTGACTTAGGTGCATAAAGAACAAGGAGCTTAGATGATACGACACCAGATTTCCATTTAGACAGAGGAACTCATTTTTTAGAACTAAAGAGAGCGCTTCTAAAACACAATATGGACAATCTGTACCTTCTGTTCAGTGCTGCTGAACCTCAACTGCTCTAAAAATAAAGTCTATTAATAGTATGGGCAGCTTTATAAAGTAGAGCTTTCTATAACAGGTAGGGCCTGAGCATCCACTTGCCAGAATATTTTCAGGGATTCCAATATATTACTGGAAGTGCACCGAATAGACGAATTCTTTCCTAATCTGAAATCTTAGTTTGTATGAAAGAAATTTACATCCATCAATCAGGAAGTAAAAATAAGCTGATACATTGTCATTTATTTGGAAGAATGAAAGCACATATGAACTTCCACTATGAAATTTCTTTGATATGAATCACATGCATGACTACATTTATCTTTCATTTCTTACTTCTGCTAAAATTAGGAAATATTTTCAGTTCTTTAAAAAAATATTCCTCTCCATGTCCACCCCAGTGCGCAGGAGCAGATTTGGGTACACAGATCAATCTTTTCTAGCTGGTATTATTTTCCAGGCTTGCAGTGGTGCTCTTTGCCGATAAATCAGTAAGATGTAGTTAGCAATGCAGAAGGCGTTAGTGGCCTGGACGAGAGAAGTTGGGGAGGAGCATGCGGGGTGAACTTCTGATGGGAAAGTGTTAAAGGGAGAATGGGAAGAGCACATTGAACAGTAGGGCTGGACACTCCTTGAGTTTGGCTGCAAAGTGAAGCAGTAAACGGCAGGGCTGGGCCGCAGCAGGGTCAACTGGTTTCTGTTCAGGAAGAATAAACAAAGCTTGTTTTTACATGCGGAATCTGAGGAAAACGGGAACCATTAAACATATAAGCAAAATGAGAATCACTGGAAGAGAGTCTGTGTAGACAAAAAGCGAGATCCGCCTGAATGTTTGCAGGGATTATCTGAGATAAGAACACGGAAAGTTTGTTTATAGTAACAGGTTTTAAATCGGAATATATGGACACCGATGGCATGTGAGTGGGAGTCTGCAGCAAATATCTTCTGATTGTTGTCATTTTGTTTTTCAAGATGAGGACAAGCAAGATGAGGCAGAAGATGCTAGAGGTTTGAGTGGGGAGGGAAAGTGAGTGCATGACTGGACTACAGATGGCACACGCCATTCAGGCTCATCTGAGATGTGGCTGTGACTGAGGAGATACTTGGTGGCGTGGTTTTGTGCTTTTCTACATTCTCTTTAACAAAAGAAAGCAAGGAAGGCAATGGAGGCTCATTAAGGCAGTGATGGTAGTGGATACTGGCATGGTAAAGAGTGGAAAACAAATGTTGAGGGACTAAAACAAAAAGTACTAAAGTGTGTGGAAAGGTCAGTGGACTGGGGTCCCAGTGAACTGGAAGATCAGCTCTAGATTTCTGGGTTCTAGTCAGAGAGAGTGTCTTGAAATTGGAATGAGGGCTGATTTGCAGCTCTTGGTGGTAGTGATGGTGTTACGACTTGAGGAAGTGCTGGAGGGTGGAGGAGTAGATTACTTAAGGAGAGATGGATTTAAGGAGTGTTTCTCAGAACATTAAAATCGCCACAATTAAGGTAGTCCCATTGAATGATGAATGGGACCATCTAGAATGAGAGTGAGTGGCAGCTGTTATTGCTGACATGTGATGAAAAGCTCTGTGTTCTGGAAAGAGGCAAGGAGAATCTTCCAAGGGAGAGGGAGCAGTAAGGACCTGGGAGCTCACTCGAGCCACCCCCATCTGAGGGCCTGCCAGGCAGCAGGGCTGTGTTCCCAGAGAAGAGCCAGTAATCACTGGGGTCACAAAGGTGAAGGAAATATTCAGCCGGCGCCGTGGCTCAATAGGCTAATCCTCCACCTTGCGGCGCCGGCACACCGGGTTCTAGTCCCGGTTGGGGCGCCGGATTCTGTCCCGGTTGCCCCTCTTCCAGGCCAGCTCTCTGCTATGGCCAGGGAGTGCAGTGGAGGATGGCCCAGGTGCTTGGGCCCTGCACCCCATGGGAGACCAGGAAAAGCACCTGGCTCCTGGCTCCTGCCAGGATCAGTGCGGTGCGCCGGCTGCAGCGGCGGCCATTGGAGGGTGAACCAACGGCAAAGGAAGACCTTTCTCTCTCTGTCTCTCTCTCTCACTGTCCACTCTGCCTGTAAAAAAAAAAAAAAAAAAAAAAAAAAAAAAAAAAAAAAAAGGTGAAGGAAATATTCAGAGATAGATCTGAAGATTTAAGGAATTTTGTTCACAAGGTAAACTCAAAATATTTTCTAAATGTATAATTTTAATCTAAGATGATAATATTTAGCATGTTAATAGAACGAATTTGAATAAAAATACATCACTATTACCATGTTGGTAAAATCTGATTTTCTCTTTTAAATATGTCCGATGTAACAAGGTTGTTCAGCAGAGTTTTATGATTTAATAAAAATGATCTTAAACACTGCAGAATTTTCACATTCTTCTTGCTGGTTTAGTTAAACTGCTAATATTATTATGTGTTCAAAAATATATTCACTTTTACTATTATAACAAATTGTGCCTAAAGTTAACACATGTTGATCTTGGCTCTGTATTTAAATATAGAATTATTACATGTTTGTTTAAAAAATATTCTGTGTGTATGTTTTGCTTGGTGCAGGCTGGATTTTGGATAATAGCACCAAAGACCTGAAGTTTGTATTCACTAACCTAACACCATTCACAATGTATGAAGTCTATGTTGCTGCTGAAACCAGCGCCGGGATTGGACCCAAGTCAAATCTTTCAATATTCACTCCTCCTGATGGTAAGAATGTCTTTAGAGAGTTAGTGAGATATTTTTATATGCTTGTGAATGTTATTGAATTGGTAAGCATACTATTAGAAGCAATTCAGTTTATATTTACTTAATTCACGTTATGTCCTTATCAAAATACTATATAACTGATTCCGAACCTGTTTCCTCCAGAACGTTAAACCTATAACATGTTTCATGACAAAGGTGATCCCAGATCTGACCAGATATGAAGTATTGTACATAGTATCACCCTGCCAGATGCAAAATGAATTTTAGCAAAATCTCCAGAAGTCATAAAGAGAACGTACAAATTTGCTATCTCTTAACCACATTGTTTGAAGTGGAAGATTTTTTTTCTCACAGAACGAGTATTTAGACAAATTGCTGTATTCCCAATTCCTGCACTAAATATTTGTTTGTAATCAGAAGGGTATTCTTAGCAAGTAAGGAGTTCTGGTTACTTTATAACACAAATTCACCAGAAATTATTGAAATTATGAAAAAGATTTAAAAGACATTCTCTACATAAAATATTTATTAAATATCACCTTTTTAGGCAAACTGCATTGTTTAAAATTATGTTACTATATCATTTGTAACAAATGTTTCTGTCCGCTAAATGTGTTAAATCTCTTCATTTCTCTTTAGGTATTGTAATTACTGTCAAGAATATACTCATTTTTATAGCATATTATCACTTGAGTTTCCAGATCTTGTTTATGTGGCAGCTGACATATAGTAATTTGTAAGTTGACTGTGCACATGTGCGCCTGTGCATACACACACAACTGGATTGGGTACATGTGCATCAGATAAATCATTCAAGTATTTAACCATTAGAGGGCAGCAACTATTAGGAAATTTTGTCCTTCTTCAAAGAAACAACCTTGCTAAAATTTGTGTCTTATCTATTTCAAGTGAAAACCCTAACGTATTTAGAGTTTCAGTATATGAATTTAAAAAGAAACACATATTAGCAAAAATGTACTCAGTTTCATATTAAATTTTGCTCTTGTAATTTCTAAAAAAATGATAGGATGAGATTTATTTTTGAATTTTTATTAATTGACATAAATACCATAACAGTCATGAGTTATACCATGTGTTTTCACATTAGAAGAGTGTTAGCCTTTGTATCTTCTCCATTAGATGTTACTTTTTCCCCATATGCTTCTAAAATTTGCTTTTATGCATTTCCCGGAAAGCTAGATAGACATGTAGATGACTATTAGACAAAGCAGAACCTTTGACTTTGATCTTAATAGAATATTCTCAAGCTCCTCAGTTGTCTCACTGTTTTTTCCCTCCCTCCCTCTTTCCTCCTTCCCCCCCTTCCCTCCCTCCTTTCCCCTTCCCTCCCTCCTTCCCCCCTTCCCTCCCTCTTTCCCTCTATCCACTCCTTCCTTGTTCATTAGAGAGAGAGAAAGAGCTTGCACCTGCTGATTGACTTGCCAGGTGCCCACATTCCAGAAACAGGAACTCAGTCTGCATCTGCCATGTGGTTGGGGAGGGACCCAGGACTTGAGCCCTCACGGGCTGCCTCTGAAGGGTGTGCATTAGCAGGATATTGGATGTGGGAGCCTTGGCAGGACTGTAACACACGCAGGCACTCCAACGTGGGATGTGGCATCCCCAGGGCCACCTTAACCCCTGGGCCAAATACTCAACTGGTACTTGCATTCTTCTTTTTTTAAATTTATTTATTTGAGAGGTAGAGATAGAGAAAGGGAGAGGCAGAGAGAGGTCTTCCATCCGCTGGTTCACTCCCGAAATGGCTGCAACAGCCAGAGCTGGGCCAATTTGAAGCCAGGAGCTTTCTGGTTCTCCCATGTGGGTGCAGGGGCCCAGGCACTTGCATCATCTTCCGCTGCATTCCCAGGCCATAACAGAGATCTGGATCTGAAGAGGAGCAGCTGGGATATGAACCAGCACCCAAATGGGATGTTGGCGCCACAGCCAGAGGCTTAGCCCACTCCACCACAGCGCTGGCCCTACTCACATTCTTTAACAAAAGCATTTTATTAAGATATGCTAAACATACCAAGAAGTTCGTTTAGGTATACAGATCAATGAATTTTTTTGTTAGCTGAACACAGTCAGAACCAGCACTCAAATTGTAACTTAAATTTTATGTTATCTGATTAAATAAATCTTAAATTGTCTCCTTTCAAATCCAGCTGATTTTTGGTAATTCTAAGCTGAATCCACAGTTTAAGAATATTAAACATTATTAGCTTTATTGGGGTATAGTATTTGTAAAAAATAGGGAAATTGATAATTCATTGCTGCATACAGTGCCAGGTTGTTATGGATTGGACACCATTTAAGCAGTATTTCCCTTTATTTCTGGATTTTTAAAAATTTGAAAGGGTCAGAGGGAGAGAAGGGGGAGGGAAGAGGAGAGAGCGAGAAATAGAAATTTCCCGTGTGTTGGTTTATTCCCCAAATTCCTGCAACAGGGCTGCTCCAGGGGAAGTTTGGAGCCAGAAGCAATTGGCAAGGACCCAGTTACTTGAGCCATCACCTGCTTCGTCCAAGGGTGCGCCTTAGCAAGAAGCTGAAATACAGACAGCCGAGCTGGGAATGGAACCCTGACACTCCGATACGGAATTGTGGACATCTGAAGCAGGGTCTTAACTGCTGCTCCAGATGCTACCCATACGTATATTCACTGAGGAAAAAAAAGTAGAACATGAGGCACACTGTTGAATACATTTCACCTGGGCTGTTTTTCATACCAAATTTGTCCTGAGTTTTATACTACTGCCTTCCTGATATGCTTATCATGTAGTCCAGAATCTTATGACCGCCGGGGAGCCCACTGGCAACAGATGAACACCAGTGAAGGCGAGAGTGACTTGTGGCATGGTTCTTACCTCCTGTGCCAGCCTTCCCTCCTGGGAGCTCTCTGTTGATAGTTAAGCTTCGTGAGGTGTTTCAGTGGAAGGCTCTGGCAAATACAGCAAATGCAGCTTTCTGCTCTGACAACACTAATTAATCCTGGTCCTGCTAATTAGAACTTCACAATAAAAGAGTCTTTAAATTATATGAGAACAATCTAATAACTCATTAGAACTACCTACTTTTGATTAAAAATTGATAACTTAATTTTAAATGATTCTTTCTCATTTATTATTACAACAGAGTTCTTTGTTTCTAATTAAGATTGCTCATTTATTTTCTTTATATTTAAAAGAAATCTTCAGTTTATTTTAAAAATAATTAAGGGGAAGTCATTTAGCTAGCAGGTAACATGCTGGTTAAGACCCTGTCCCTGCCACCCATTGCAGCACAGTGGGTTAAGTGGTTATACCAGTATCCCATATCTTAGTACTGCTTTTAGTCCTGGCTGCCTACCTGATGGACCACCTTGCTAATGAGCCTGGGAAAGCAGCTGTGATGGCCCAAGTACTTGGGCCCCTACCACCCCTGTGGGAGACCCTACTAGAATTCCAGGCTCCTGGCTTAGGCCCTGCCCAGCCCTGGCCAGTGCAGCCATGTTGGGAGTGAACCAGAGATAGAAGATCTTACTCTCTGCTTCTCCCCTCCTCTCTTTCTGTCAGCCTGTCTATCCAATAGCAGAGATGCCTGTGTCCCAGATTGGAGCATGTGGTTATTCTAGACACCAGCTCCTGACCGCAGCCCTCTGCTAATGTGTATCCTTTGAGGCAGTGGTTATGGCTCAAGGGATGGGCTGCTGACATCCCCCATGTGGGAGATCGGGATTGGCTCCTGTCTTTAGCCCCCCTCCCACTTTTCAAATAAAGGGAAAGACATGAAAGGAAACCATTATGACTAGCTTGTTTCATGTAAGTGAATAGCTTGAAATCAACTGGTGGGGGTGTCTAACGAATCTCCAGATATTCACAGAAAACTCTTGAATTGACCTCCTAGGGCGAATGATAATGTGCTATCATGTTGTTGGAGGTAGTGGGTAGTTGCTGCTGGTGGTTGATTGATGGCATTAATCCTCAAGGTATTCACGGTCTATAGTCTACTTTGATTGTTAAAAACAATCAATATTCTATTGTTTTAGCAGTTCTCCTGTACATTTCCAGGGTTTCCATATATCCCTTAATGTTTTACAAAGTGAGTTTCCACACAGGCATGACGAAGTGACCAGTTCAGGAGAAAGTTGTTAAATTAGTCATCTCTTATCTTAGAAAATGTCATAAAATTGCCTGTTCCAAAATCAGTACTAATGGTGAATATAATACGGGAAATAACCTTTTGTTATCATTAATATGATAGTAAAAAAATCTATCTTATATAAGCTCAACTTTGTTGTTTTCATGCTTTCTAATTTTACTTTCACGGGTATCAAATATGAGGTTCAGCATGACACTTTCTGAAAAGCAAACAATTTTGAAATTCATATTCTCTTTCATAACTTCAAAAGCGAAGACCTTTGTCCTTGTAATTTCAACTTTTTTCTTTGTGCAGATCCTATTAAAATACTTGTAGGAAAATCAAGAGTCTGTCAACTTTCAGGATTTCCAATAGCTCTTAATTTTTGTTACTTTCAAAAACCACCTCTGAAGGAAGTTTAAGATGCCAGAGAATAGAAGAGAGTATTTTAATATATTTTCTTTACTTCAATTTTATGTCTGCATTTCATTTCTTCTAACATCTTTTCATTTGAAAATTTCAAACCATTAGAAATATTTTTAACAGTAATATGCCTGTTCTTGTTTCTCATTTATTAATACCTATAAATGTATTGACCTGAGAAGAAATCTTAGATAGTCCCTGTGGACATCTTCAGAACCAGTGCTGAACCATGAGTAATTGCATCGTGTGTTTGGTTTTCTTTAATTTATCATTAGTAAAGTAGTTTGATCTATACATCTCCATTTTCTCCATAAGAATTTATGATTTAACAGATCAAGTATATTTCTGAAGACAAGATAAAATGCTGTCTACTCCATTTCCTTTTTTCTTTTTTCCTAAGCTTACTTAAAAGGCAAAGTTACAGAGAGAGAGATCTTCCATCTGCTGGTTCACTCCCT